TGGAATCTGTGTTTTCCTTCATCTTTTAATAGCTTCCCTGCAGGAAACACAAGTCAGATAATACACCACCTTTCCTGAAATAAACTACTAGCTGAGAATCTAGTTCTGTGCCAAAATGTAACAGGAATGGCTGGAGTCTATTTATAATGGTAGAAGTTGTCAGGATGGGCCTGAGCACTGAAGGAGGTTGAAGACCACTGGAAGGGGATGGCATTCTGACAGAGCTGACCCCAGGGGGATCCTGTCTCACTCTTGCAATCACCTCTGCTTTCCACACACTGCTAGCAGCGCTGACCTGGGCGGGCAGTGCTGGCAAGTGTCTCTGTTGCAGGTGGGGAGCGTTCAGTCCCTGGGTGGGACGGGCGCTCTGCGGATCGGTGCAGAATTCCTGCGGCGCTGGTACAACGGCAACAACAACACAGCCACCCCAGTCTACGTCTCTGCTCCATCCTGGGGTGAGTGCTGCCCTCAGGGAGCCCTGTGGGTCAGCGAGTGAGGGAGGCACAGCCCTGCTCCTTGCAGGGGCCTGGGCAGTGGGGGAGCAGCCTTCTCATGTGTGTAATGGGAGGTGCTGGGGCTGGAGAAAGCAGCTTGCTGGACATAGGGTGTGCTTTTCTGAGAAATTATTTCTTTCCTCAGAGAACCACAATTCTGTGTTTATGGATGCTGGCTTCAAAGATATTAGAACCTACCACTACTGGGATGCTGCCAAGAGGGGTCTGGATCTCCAAGGGCTGCTGGGTGACATGGAGGTGAGTAAAACTGCCATGGGATGGGCTGAACTTGGTGCTGTACTGTCAGTATCTGCAGCTGGCTAGGCCCTGCTGTGCTGTGCTGGGAAGTGGATCACTGCAAAAGAGGCTGTTGTTGCCCAGAGCAGCTCCAGGCCTCTCCTTAGTCTGCAGATGCCTAGTGTCATCTGTGTGTGTGTGTGTGACCAAGATGTGTTCTCTCCTCAGCATGCCCCAGAGTTCTCCATTTTCATCCTCCATGCCTGTGCGCACAACCCAACAGGCACAGACCCTACTCCTGAGCAGTGGAAGCAGATTGCTGCTGTCATGAAGGTATGGGCTGCTGCTGGGGCTAAAGCAATACTGAGGGGGCAAATAGCTCTTGAGCTAGCCAGAACATTTGCATCTGAAATGGGCTTTGAGGGAATGGCATGAGATGTAGTAGAAGCTGAAAGAGTCCCACAATGCAGGTCAGGTGTTGGAGAGGTGGACAACAGAATGCTTGTTGTCTGTGCTCAGAGGAGAAATGCACTGCAGTTCTTGTTGTGCCTCCAAGTTCTTGTTTTCACACTCTAGGGAGTGTGCTGTAGTGAGCTTTCTCCTGCTGGAAGGATTATCTGCAGGCAGGTGCTGGATAGTAGCATGTGAAGTGGTGCACTTTTTATGTTCTCAAGTGCAGTTTACTCCTGCATTGACTTTTATTGACCACTTTAGTCTTTCTATTCTTTCACCCCAGTAGAAAAAGTATTTCAGTCTGGTGTTGCTGGACCATGTTTCCTTTGAATTCACACAGGAACTCCTTGGTCATTTTCCCTCCTACGGGTACTGTGGGGGGTAAAAAGAGAGGTTGTGGGGAGGGCATTTCCCTCTAACGCTGTTCCTCCTTGCAGCGCCGGAGCCTGTTTCCATTCTTCGACTCAGCGTACCAAGGGTTTGCCTCTGGCAGCCTGGAAAAGGATGCCTGGGCTGTGCGATACTTTGTCTCCGAGGGCTTTGAGCTCTTCTGTGCACAGTCGTTTTCCAAGAACTTTGGGCTCTACAGTGAGTGTCTGGCAGTAAGCTGGCCCAGTAGCATCATACCCAGACAGATGGGGCTGGCATGCTGAGGGGTGGGGAATTCTCTGCTTTGCCACGACGTGTGGCACCAGTGGCTTACATCTCTTGGCATGTCCACAGATGAAAGGGTGGGGAACCTGACCGTGGTGGGGAAGGATGCAGACAACGTGCAGCGTGTGCTGTCCCAGATGGAGAAGATCGTGCGCACCACTTGGTCCAACCCTCCCTCCCAGGGAGCGCGCATCGTGGCAACCACGCTTTCTTCCCCGCAGCTCTTTGATGAGTGGTACGTGTTGCCAGGGCAGTGGGAGAGGGCGGGAGAGGGAAGCTGCCTCCCTGAGTGTCCGGCTTGGCCAAATGGCTTCAAACCAAGTGGGTGCCCATCCTCATGCTCTGCTTCCTGCCTGCTGCAGGAAGGGCAATGTGAAGACCATGGCAGATCGGGTCCTGCTGATGCGGTCAGAGCTCCGGTCTCGGCTGGAGGCCCTTGGGACCCCAGGCACCTGGAACCACATCACAGAGCAGATCGGCATGTTCAGCTTCACAGGGCTGAACCGTAAGTATCAAGTGGCCTGTTGAAGGGAGGTTTGGGTGGGGGCAGTTTCGCTGAAAACTGGGTGAACTGGGCTGAAGCAGTCCAAGCTGTTATCTCTCAGTCTCACTGGAGTTTTGGCATCACTGCGTCTGTGGCTGGGGAGGGATGAAGCATCACGCAGTATTTTAGTGGCCAGTGCTTAAACTTTCCTGCTTGTTGTGAAAGATTCAAGCATTCCTGACTAGTTCTTTTTTCTGAGCTCTGGGTCACTGCTCTGACCTGATGTCCATTTTTTTCCCCAGCTAAGCAGGTGGAGTACATGGTCAAGGAAAAGCACATCTACCTGATGGCTAGTGGGCGCATCAATATGTGTGGTCTAACTACCAAGAACCTGGACTATGTGGCCAAGTCCATCCATGAAGCTGTCACAAAAATCCAATGAAGCACATGAACAACCAAACTTAAATGAAGTCACCAAAGCTATAGTGTGTAGTCCATGTCTTTCTCTGCTCATGGCTTGCCTTTTCCCACACCTCTTGGGGTTTAATAAAGATGGGAGGAGTAACTCAATCAGGCATAATGGTCTTCTAACATTTTTTAAGTGGTCCTTGCAATATGGTAAGCCAGTGCCCCCAGGAGGTGGGGGTAGCATGAGCCACCTTGGCTCTTGTTTCACAACGGCAGCCTGGTCTCCAGGCCCTTAGAGCTGCCTCTTTAGCATGTCCAAATCAGCTCCATGTAACTGATCATTTTGATCATGGCAAAGTCTGGTGCCAGTGCAATGCACTGTGTGATAACAGCACAGAAGTTGGGATCTCACAATCTCACATGACTTGTGAACTAATGTCACCCAGTAGTATTTTAGGGAGAGGTAAAGCTGTTGCTAGCTTCTTCTCTCCACCCATCCCACCCCTTCCCAATTTCTGAGCCTTATATGAGCAAATATTTGTAATTGTGATAATTGCTTCTTTGTGTTGCTGACATGAAATTAAACCTTTGTCTCTGAACACTACCCCCTGCCTTGTGTGATGTCATGTCTTCAGACCATACTAACCTCTCCCCAGGCTCAGGTTAAAGCCTCAGCAACCTGGTTTGTCCACTTACTCAGTTTGTTTCAAGGCGGTACCTTTCTCTCTCAGTGTGTGTTGCATCTCTGATAATCACAGCCACTACTAAAGGGGGAGTCTGACTGGGAAAGTGTTGTTGAGAGGTCCCTGTGACTACATGAGGCCAACCAGTTCCTGCTGTATTTATCTTGTGTTCTTTCTGCCCCACTGCCCTGTACTGCCCAGCTTATCCTGCCTGTCTGTCTTTCTGGTTGCTTTCTAGATGGTCAAGTGTTTCCATTCCAGGAGCCCAGGGCTCCTGGCCTGCCCCTCAGGTCTGAAAAAGCTGATCTCTTCTGTTCATCCTTTTCAGCAGGCTCCTGGTGAGCCCCCATCTACTCCCAGATCCTTCAACGGGGCCTGCCAGCAACAGCCCGTGTTTCTGGCACTGAAAAAGAGCTGGGACCATCTGTTTCTGCTCTCTGCAGTCACTGCAGATCTATTTGTGAGCTGACAGAGCAGCCTCCTGACAGGATCTTGTGAGGAAAGGGGACAGCTCCTTTCCTTGTGTCAGGTAGCAGTAGTCACTGTTACCCTGATGGATTTGCTTGTGCTGCAGCTTAGATAGAAAAGGCAAAAGTGGTGCCTTATTGCCTCATGTTTGCACAGAGTGCATGGGGTCTCTTGTTTGTTCTTTTTCAGTTAATATTGATATATAAGAGAGTGAGACAGAGGTAGCCTTTCATCCTCTCTGCAGGTGAGGATCTTTTTTTCCCTTTTGGTGTCTATTCACAACAGGGATGGTGAGGAAGTGGTTAAAAGATGACTTCTAGGGGTCATCTCAGGAGGAGTTAATTTTTTTATTTATGATATTTGCTTACACTTCTGCCCTTTCAGACCTCCTGGTGTGAAGACTGGCCCACCCCATGTGATCGGTATTGGTGTTTTGCTAGTCTTACCAACCTTGTTTTTCCTAGCAAGTGACCTAAATTTCTCCTTTTCTGTGGTGTAAGCTCATTACCAATTATCCCATTTACCATGGCAACAGAGAACAAACAGATTATTCCTTTCCTCTGTATAACAGCTTTTTATGTACTTGAAAACTTCCTCTCTCCCCTTCACATCCTTCACCAGTAAAGATTAAGTGACTCTTTCCTTCGGCCTTTGCGGTAGAATGTTTTCCAGCCCTTGCCTTCCTCTGTCCACTTTTCAATTGCTGTGTGTTTCCTTAGAAGGGCAGTGCCCAGACAGGGCTGCAGTTATTCCAGCTGAAGTTTTATCAGCTTGGGTGGACTATGAGATTTCTGTCGTTATCTGTCAGGCTGTACTCCAGCACGTGTATCCCACTATTGTGTTTGCAATGGCCTGATATTAACTCCTGGTTTTCCCCAGTCCTTTTCTGCACTGCTGAGGCTTATCTCCCTGCTTGCCAAGTGCTGTCCTGGCAGCAGGAGTGACAGAGAGCCCAGCTTCAAGGCAGGAAATGAGGCAGCACTTGCTGACCCATTCTCAGTGATCTTAGTCCTGCTACTCCAGGCACCCCTGGCCCTGGGTGGCAGGGGTGAGGACAGCCTGGCCTGCTGGGAGGGTTAGCGTCTTTCCCTACACCCATGGACACAGAGAGGGCATTGCTCAGGGAAAAATCACTTTTAATGTTGATATCCCTGTTGCGTTGAGCCTCTACAAAAACTACTGACTGGTCTGTTCCACCCCGAAGTCTCGGTGCGAGCCTCCCTCCCAGCGGCAGGCGTGTGCGGAGGGGAGGATGGTCCAATGCAGCATGGAGAGGGGGCTGCACTCGGGGGCTCCTTGCCCTGTGTCTGGCAGGGCTCCGGGGGTGCTGGGCCGTGTCCATGGTCAGCGTGAGCGAGGCAAGCGGGTGTGTCACCAGGCATGGCACAAAGGTGTGCTGGGGCCCTGAGCTGTGCATGGCACCCCCAAATAGCACATTCTCCTCGTGCTGGAGACCACATCTTGCAGCACCGGCACTGCAGGGCTCCGAGCCTCGCTGGGATGGGGATGGTAAATGATGTTAAAGGGCAGTTCTGGGTTGGGCTGCCCCTCCCTGCACTGCTTGCAGGGATGCCGTGACAGACACTTTTTCACCTTTCCTTTTTCCACCTCTTCCTTGAGACCAGATGCTACCAGGGAGCAGCTGGGTAAGGGCAAGGGCCCTCGGTCTCCAGCTAGCTGGTCCAGGCTGCCGGGGTGGTTCAGCCCTGCTGGGGGTACATCCTTTCTCGCCTGGGGATGGGGCTCTGCACAAATCCTGCAGGGAGGGGCGGCACGAGCGGGCGGACGGGCAGCGGGCGAGTGCAGACCTCCTGCTGTTGGACGTGAGCCTCACGGCAGGAGACCCCCATGCTGCAGACCTGGAAGACACAAGCACCGCCTGGTGCAGGTGGCCAGAGCTTGCCCTCTGACCTGCTGCTGCTCAAGCCTGCAGCAGCCTTCCTAGCCAAGCTCAGGTGTACACTGGTGCAGACAGTGAAAACATGAGCCGAGGTCTCACTCGTCTCTGACATCCAGTCTGCTGTTGAGAGCAGATCCTGCTCCATATCCCTTGATCCTGCTCCAGCCCCCACCGACACGCAAACCTGCATGGGCTCCAAACCACCCCATTTGGTCTTGCTGCCTGAAACTTGTTTTACCCTATTTAAAATGAGTGGCCTCCCTCTTTCTGGGAAAGGAATCTCACCAAGAGGCAGGTTCCTACCTCCAGTCTGCATGGGCCTCCAGCACTGTGCTCTGGCCACGCTGCTGCTCAGGTGATTAATGGGGTGAGATTGGAGCTTGCTTCAGGCGACTTCTCACCTTCTGATGATGTCCGCTGCTTGCGCCCACCTGCAGCAGCAAGGGTGCTTAGGGCTGGGGTGCTGGGAGCCAAGGGTGCATGGGGCTGGGGTGCATAGGGCTGGGCCAGGACCTCAGGCTGGCTCTGCCTGAGCCAGCCCTCGGTGCAGTTTTGCCTTCTGCTGAGGTACTGACAGGGAACTAGGTTGTCCCCCGTTCCACACCAGCCCCATGCAGGGTGTCCCAGGACAGGGCTGGGGAACAGCGGGCACAGGCAGCGGGGTGCTGAGGCAGAGCTCTCCCCTGGGCGTGCTGTCCCCTGGTCAGTCACTCACTGAGGGATCTCAGCAGCCTCTTGCCCAGTGCCTCCTCAGAGCTGCTCGGCGACGAGCCGGTCCCGGCCTCTCGACCTGTGGACTCTGCTTCCAGGACGGTTCCGCAGCACTCACTGTCTGCAAAAGCCCAGCATGGCTGCAGCACCTCAGGGCACTGTGGCCTCGCCAGCCCCAGGGTCAGGTGTGTGTGCCCCCCGCCAGACTCACTCTGCCGCTTGCTGTTCTCGCTGTCAGCCAGCTCCTCCTGGATGAAGGGGATGGCCTCCATGCGCAGGAACACCGACTCGCTGGGACTGCGCGGCCCCTCAGAGCGGCTGCCTGCGGGGACACGGGGCAGGGAGGTGCTGTGCCCCGGGGCAGGACGTGGCAGGATGCCGGCCATGGCAGCAAGTCCAGCTGCCAGGGACCGCAGGGGACATGAGCACAAGGGAATGAGGAGCTACCTGCCTGCACACTGGCAGTTGTGCAGGCACCCACAGCTGTGTGTGTATGCAAACGCCCACTCCATGTGCAACTGCATGGCAGAGATGGTGTGTGCATCATGCCAGAGGGCCCCAGCACAGACCCCTGGGGGACATGGGGAGGAATGCTGTTGGGTGACTCACACATGGTGTTGTTCCTCTCATTCAGGAGGGTGGCAGGGTCCTCCTTGGGGGTCTGTGGGGTTCCCCGTGCAGTTGAGGCCTTGGTTGAATCCCTGTCGAAGGCCTCCATGTCAGGGGACTGAGGTGAGCTGTCCATGCGGCTGGCCACCAGCGCGTTGTGGTACTGCTGCCGGGTCACCTGGGCACACAGACGTGCACCCAGCTCAGTGGGCACCAGCGGTGCCTCTCGGAGACTTGGTGGCTCCAAACCTCCAGACAGCAGGAGTAAGTGCAAGACTCCTCAGCACCCGCTGGGCACCCACCAGGCTCCTGGGGCACAGTGGGGCAAGAGGGCACCTGGACAGGGGTGGCCGGGGTGGGACAGTCCCTGCCAGCCCTGCCCGTACCTTGACGAACTGCACGTCGCAGAGGATGTGCACAGAGTAGTCGGGCGTGTAGATGTTGTTGCTGCTGCTGTGGAGCTGCGTGCTGCTGCCTCCATAGTCCTCCCGGTTGGGGGACTCGGAGCGGTTGAGGCCACTGCAGCGCGACGGTGACCTGTTCACTGCAGGAGGGGACAGCAGAGAGAGCGGCAAACACTCAACTCTCGCTCGTGGTGTTGCTTGGGCTCCCAGTGCCAGTGTAGGACCAGTCACCTCCAGTGGCTATTCCCCAGGACAAGGGGCTGGAGGGGCCCTGAGGGGGTCCTGCAGCCTGTCCTCCTCAGTGCGGGCTGGTGTGGACACTGTGCCATGCCAGCCCCACACAAACCGAAGGGACCGGGCAGGACTCTGACCTGGTGCCAGCAGCAGAGGTTAGGGCTGCTGGCTGCGTGTCACTGACAGCTCTCCCATTAATGCCGGCCTTCTGCGCCACATTTGGCACTTCTCCTGCTTGAGCCAGCAGCCTGTGAGTATTTGCTTAACCTGTCTCAAGGGCATGCTCCTGTTCACCCCAACTATGACAGATCAGGAGGAGAGGCTGCCATGGCAAGCTAGTCTGTCACTCACATTGACTGATGGCCTCTGACACACAGCGTGGCCTCTGACACACAGCATGATGGATTTTGCCTAGTCAGTGATTTATTAGGGAACAAAGGCAGCTTGTCCCTTGCATAGGTGACGTCCTGCTGACTTTGCTCTGCTGCTAAAATGCCTCTTATTACCCAGATCAGCAGAAAGCAAGGGGGGCAGGGCAGCAGGCATGCAGGGCTGCAGGTCACTGTCACCAAAAGCAGCAAGCCAAAACCCCAAGAGCTAAGTGCAGGAAATTACAGGAAGTGCACACCAAAGAAAGCCCAAGCCCATGGCTTCCCCTTGTCCCCATCCCATTCTTCCAGGGATTTGCATCATACTGGGGAGGCTGTGGCAGGACTGCTGGCCCCAGTCTGCCACCAATGCTCCAGCCAGTGAGGGGCTGCCCAGGGGTGCCGTGGGTACTGCCCAGCATGCAGGGTGGAGGGGGTTGGGGCACCGTGGACAGGGTGCTGGAAAGAGCCTACCACATGCAGAGGGCCCTGGCCAAAGCCATGCCCTGTTACCTGGAGAGCCAGCCAGGGAGTCCCCTCTGCTGAAGGCGAAAGTACGGGACACTGAGACAGGCACTGCAGAGAGAGGGAGGGAGAAGGAAGGAGGGGACCCAGGGGAGAGGTGAGGGATGGAGGTGAGGGTGGGATACAGACCAAGAGGAAGAATAAGAAAAAGAATCATGTGCAAGCAGTCCCGGGCTGAGCTCCCATTGCTGTCTCCAGCATCCCTTCCCACCCCGTTTATACCCTCCTGCTTCTGCTCTGGAGAGGTGTCCGCCAGTCCTGGGGACAGGGTCACAGGCAGGAACAGAGATTTGGAAGTTGTGTATCAGCGGGTTGCTCTGTGAAGGGTAGAGGGAGGTGAGGCTGGCAAGGGGAATCTGCTCCTGCCAGGCCTGTCTGCAGAGCCACACAACTTCCTGGAGCCCTGGCATGGATAGAAAGCATCTCTCCCCCATGAGTTAAGTGCTGGCACTTGGCTCTAACCCTTTACCAGCCATTGCCAGGATAGGGGACTTTGTGATCAGCTTATGCCACCTGGGAAATGGGTGGAAGCTAAATCACTGCACTTGGTATCTGGGATGCTTCTGTGTGTGCAGGCACATGGCAGAGAAGGAATATGCTCTGCAAAGGTCGCTGCCCCAGCCCCACAGCTGCAGGCAGGGGCTGACAGAAGCTCCTCATGGTGATGCAAAGCAAAGGGATTCATGTCAGGCTGCCTGCAGTTCCTTGCAAGGTCCTGGGTTTCAAAAGCTTTCGGGTGATGCTGAGAAGAGCAACCCACTGGGGGCTGATCCTTGCAGGAACTGCAAGAAGCCAGGACTCTGTATCTGAGCTGCCTGACCCATTGCCACAGAGAAGGTAAATCATAGACACTCACTTTCCGTGTTTTATTGCCATGGGTTACAGCAGCAATGACAATTTCTAGGGCAGCCCATTCCCCCTCCTGGTGATTGCTGCCCTCAAGAGTGTTCCTGGGCGATGCCACAGGCGATGGGGGAGCACGGAGAGACCAACACACAGGGTGAGTGATGCGCTCCTTAACACTTGCCAGTCTCTGCTTTCACCACTGCCATTGCCCACCTTGAAAGCAGTGGGAGATGTGAGCCTGCTGGCTGCCAGCCCCTACTCCAGCCATTGCCATGATTCCCCCAGCTGTCAGCCCTCCTGCCGAGGTGTCCTGCCCTACCTCCAGCCACTGTGTCCACAGCACAGCTGCAACACTCTAGGAACTATCTGCTGCCTATGTGATTAATGTTTTAAAATTGCTTCAAATGTAAAACCCCCAGGAACCTTGCCCTGCAGTCCCCTTTTCTAATCTCCCTGCTGCTCTCACAGGAATTCCTGTTACGTATCCTCCCCTGAATCAAAATGATCTGCAAATAAAAAAAGACACCAGCATGAAGCACTGCTTGGAACGACCTTGTCCTGATGGGAGCAAAGGATAGTTGATAACTCATTGACTCCGTGCTCCCACTGCCTGACCCTCCCACAGCATTTGTCACCACACAGCACCAATGCCAAAGATCAGCTGGATATAAAACAATTGCGTAACAGTTAATTAATAACAACCTAAATTAATAATAACCTAAATTCTCAGCTGCGACACTCTACTCACAGTCCCTTCTGCTGGACTTTTCTTCAAGGAGGAAAAAGAATGCCAGCCTCCACCACAAGGGAGATGCCCTGTCACTCCTGCCTCCTAGCCTGCTTCCCTGCTGGCAGGGGTGTGACACAGGTCTGTCCCACTGGAGGCAGGAGTGGCTGCATGGCAGAAAACACCTCATGACAGTGTCCCAGTGAGCACTGGGAGCAAAGGAGCCCTGAGCAGCAGTGTCCCAGCAGGCGGCACTGCAGACATGCATGGCTGCTCTGACACAGCTCCCGCTGCTTTTCTGCCCTGCCTGGCCCAAGGCCCGTGGGCAGCCTGGGCCCCTGTGGGCCCGTGAGGAGTCTCACCTAGGATACAGGACACTGGGCCATCCAGCAACACCCTGGCACAAACTGGCCACTTCATTGATTTCCTCTCTCCAGACTGACTGCACTGCGGACACAGGGCAAAGCAGGAATGTGCACTGAGGGGCTAATCCATCAGTCCACGAGCCAGCCTTTTGCACAGAGGCAGAGCAAGCAGCAGCAAACAGGTGAACCCTAGAGCTGCAGAAAGATTAGGACCCACTGGAGCGAGCCACCTGCCCCAAGAGACTGCCCCTGTTCTCTTGATGACATTCCTCTTAACATCTCCCTAAAGATTGCATTTAGTAGGTCCCTGTTTTGATTAGGCAGGTAAAGCATCTCAGCTTACCATCAGCACTGCAGATGTGACTGCAACATCTGGGGTTTGGATGATGATGGACTGGGACTGGGCAGCACCTCAACCTGCTCCTGAGCCACACGGGACCAAACCTTTGTAGAGGTTATAGCAAAGAAGGAGGTGCCTCTCAGTCTCCCCTAATCAGTGCTCCCTCTTAACTGCTGCAAGCAGGGGATCTGCTTCTTAACCCATCAGCTCTGCAGGCAGGGAATTTATTGGCACTTGGCTAATTTCCCACAACCATGTGCAAATAGCTCACAGGTAAATCAACCCATCTCTGCAATTCCCAAGCAGCCCAATGTGGGGCCCCTGCTCAGGTTGTGCCTGAGCCTCAGGAAGGCAAATAGGTCTAGAGGTGTTATGCTGAGACCTAGAATGAGTATAACACCCACCTGTGGGCACTGCCCCTTGCAGCACCAGCTGTGCTGGGACCCACCAGCAGAGAGGCAGCATGTGGTAGAAATTTCAAAAGTACATCAAAGGGACCTCAAAGGGACCTCCAAGTCACTCTGTGAGGTCATTGCTCCATCAGCCCCTCAGCATGTTGTTTCTCTGTCTACCTCAGCACAGAGTCTGAGCTGTTTTGCATGGGAGAAAAGCCATTGCTCCTCCAGCCAGCCAGTGCTGCAGAGATGTTTTAGGGCCTCATCCTGTCCCACAATACTTACGTAGGAAGGAGGATCCTGCCAGGCTTCCCATTTTTCGCACATCGTTTTCTGAAACAACAATTGGAGGTGTGGGAATAGCGGAAGAAGGGCTCCTGCCCCATGCCCCAAAGCAGGGCCACCCTACCCATGGCCAGCCCCTTCTCCTGGCACCAGCTGGTTTAGCCTCCATGGATGCTGCTGCAGCAAGGGCAGAGGGAGCCCACAGCGGCCTCACCTGAGGAGACAACAGCCATGATGGCAGGGACACCGTAGTAGGTGAACGCCCCATTCTCAAACCGCAGTCCTTCCTTGCCGACCTCCACCTGCACTTTCCCCTGGAAGGAGGAGGAAAACCCTCTCAGAGAAGCACCCCGTGCTCCTGACCCACCCCGGGCTGCAGGGACCCCGGCTGTCCCATCCAAAAGGATGGGCATCTTTGCTGGCAGAAGCAGCTTAGAACAAGGTGGCAAGGAGAAAACAGGGCCACACCCTGCCACCCTCTGCTTGCTGCTGCCCAGGCACCTGCAGGATGAGGACAAAGTAGTCGACAGGGCGGTTGCGCTGGTAGAGGTAATGCTCTGCTGCCTTCTTGTTCTTTCGGTCGTACTTGAGCTCCTGGATGACATTGGGGTGTTTCAAGAGCCGCAGCAAGATCTTCTCGGAGAGGTAGGGGGACTTGAAAGGCTCCACTTCTAGAAGGGAGGCAATGCTGTGCTCAGCAGGCCAGGACTGCTGGGAACCCCTCGTGCTCTGAGCTGCACGGCCCTGCTCCTGCAGCCTAAGCACCCACTGCCAGGAGGGGAGCCAAATGCAGACCTGCACTGGTAGAGCAGTGGAATGTCCAGGCTGTAGGTCCAGCAAGTGGAAATTGCTCAGTGGGGGGGAGCCCAACCCAGGAATGGCTTAGGGATGCCCTGTGGGGCTGGTGCTGCAGGGCTTGCACAAGGGCAAGTGTACCTGTTGCCATGAACCGATGGGTAGCCAGGAGGAGCTGCGGGGAGATCTTCACCTTCATCTCACTCTCTGAGAGCCTGAAGATGGAGAAATCCTGGGGCTTGCGTCCCCGGTGGGGAACTCGCTCCTTCTTCCGATTGTCAGCTGCAGGCAGAGCAGAGCAGTCACTCCCCTGCAGCAGCCACAGAGCTGCTGCAGCTGCAGGGCCCCACATCACATGCACACGTATGGACAGGCATGTCTGGCTGCACCCTATGGCAGGGCTGCTGGGGAGCAGCAGATGGAGCAGTGGGGCACATAAAACCTGCTGTGCATGCAGCCTTGGGAGCAGCTCCCAGGGCAGGGAGCAGGACTGTAAAACACACTTGTTCCTTAAGAACAAGCTGTGGGTTCTCTAGGCTGGATGCATCACCCAGAGTTGCAAATGAGCTTGGGAACCACCCATATCGTGCCCAACATAGATGTTCCTAGGTCAGGCCCTGCCCAGCCACCCACTGCTGATGCTGGTACTTCTCTATCTTGAGCATCCAAGATAGGGACACTTGACCAGCGCCTCTCCATCATTCTTGTCTTTCCCATCACGACAGCAAATCACTCTGGGGAAGGACCACAACTTGCTCTGGCCTGTTTCCTACCCACATCTGTCTGTCTGTGCAGGCTCCCACCCTGGCTCCTGCAACTGCAGTAGCTGCTCTGGGACACTAACTGTACAGATCCGTCTCATCCAGAATCTCGGACTTGATGATCTCCTCAATGACATCTTCCAGGGTGACAATGCCCATCACCTCGTAGAACGGGTCTCCTTCCCCTTCATTGTTCACCCGCTGCACGATGGCCAGGTGGGACTTTCCTGCAGGGGAAAAGCAGAGTGCCAGTGAGACACCTGGCCCGGTGATCCTGAGAGTGGCTCCCAGCGTGGTGGGCAGGGAGGTGGGCAGGGTTTGGTGGGAGGCACAGAGCACAGCAGACACTGTCACCCAAACCCACCCAAGTGTGCTAACCCAAGGAGAAGGGCTGGACATGCAGCCCAGCCTAACGGGGCAGCAGCTGTCCAGACTTGTACATGTAGGCTCTTTTTTGGGGCTACCTTCCCTGTTTATCGAGGCTATGAGTCACTCTGCTCAGCTCTTTGAAAGCCTCCTGTGCAGGAATAAAGTGTAAATTATACCATCTTTTCCTTACCCTCCATTTCACTGGCATGAAACAACTCTTAACAGAGCAATGAGACGATGTTCTCCAATACAGAAATGTGAATGTGTCCTTGGCTCTACTGATTTCCCATATCCTCCTGGTGTTTTCTTATTCTATTGCTAATTATCTTTCCTATTAAATTGCCAGGAACAGCTCCCCCTCATCTTTATCACTACATAGACCAGTACTAAGGTTTTTTGTAAAATATGGGCAAAATTTCCATCTCTTTGAAACAGCAGCTGGTTTTTATGCAGAAATACAAATGTTTGTTTGCAGCTTTCAGCCCACCTCCTACAGAACTCTTGGGTGAACCAACTGGATGCTGACACTGAACAATTTTCAACCCATCAGCTTGCACCTGAAATTCTTATCCGAGTCCTGCCCTTGACAGCATAGCAGACTGAGTCCAGAACCTTCAGCTTCAATGATGTTGACTCCTGCTTGGAAGTTCCAGTGTTCCTGGATCACAGTTTCAGTTTCCTCACTTGTCCCTTGTAAGATGGCAGTTCTGCTGACACATTCTCAAGTTTCTTGGTTTTGGCATACTTGAAACATTTCTATTTGTTTTTGCATGTCCAGCTCTCTGTAAGCTGTTTTGACTTTTTCAGCCTCTCCCTTCCTTTACTGGCTGCTCTGATTTATGTTCCTGCTCAGCATCTTGACCGGAACCCAGCTTCCAAGCCACAAACAACTTCTGGGTTTCTAGCTCCAGCATGTTCTTGGACCTGCCACTCAACAGCACTGAGTCTGACTCCCACACTGCCCAGCAGTGCACACAGATTCTCAACCTCTAGTTTTATTTAAAAGCACCCTCACTGGCACCACAGCCAAAAACTTGGCTCCCTCTGTTTGCTCTGCACCCCTGGGGTCTCCTGTTGCAATGCCTGCATAAACCCAAAGTGCTGCAGCGACCTCTGGGAAGCTGCTAACGCCTCATTTTCCCCATGGGCTCGGAGCTGAGCTCTTTGAGCAGCAATGGTCACCCAAAACAGGGGCAGGTCCTCTCTGCTTGCAGCTGCCTCACATCCACTCCTCCCATAAGCTCATCCCAACAAGCTCTCCTGCTGCTCCCGACAAGGGATGTGAGCAGCACTCATGCATAAAGATGTGGCAGGGTGGGCTCCTGCCTGGTGCACAGCTCCTTCCTGACCCGCAGAGGCGCAGGGACAAGCACAGCCAGAGCAGCCTGGCGGTGCCACAAACATGTCTTGCTGGGGATCAGGCGACCTTCAAATAACCCTGCCCTGGATCTGAGACCAGCAGATGACATTTCTCAGCTGAAGATCAGCACTATACATTTCTCATAGCACTTCTTGGGCATTTTCCACAGTATAAATTCCCTCCTCCTCATACCAAGCTTTTATTGCAAGATTTCAGAGAGCAGCTCGCTGCCTCCCACGCCTACAGATTTAGAAATGAGAACATAACATTGCAGCAAGTAGCACTGAGATTTACTTTAAAAAAACCAAATCAATAGCCCTGGGGCACTGAAAATTCAGCATGTTCTTTAGACTGGGCTATTTCACTCCTTTCATGCATAGGTTTGTGCATCTTTTCTGTTCAGTGGGTAATAAAGCAACACAGCACTTAAGAAGAAAAAAGCAGAGGAGTTGGCTGCAAGACAGCAGCGACAGCTATGTTTCATCTTAGCAAGGTCCAGCTTTTGAAAAGGTCTCCTTTGCCAAACTCTGCTCCCAAACACTGGGGCCATCTGGTCTCCTACAAGTCCTTGTGTGAGCGAGGAGGGGGAAAAAGTTATTTCTTTTGGCCGAGAGCTTGTTGTTAATGACATTTACATGCAACCCAAAACCACCAAGCCCTTACAAAAAGCTTAGGTGCTACTTAAAGGCAGTCAGAGAGTGATGGAGGCAATTCTTTTTTTGGCCAAACACCTACCTCGACACTGCAATTTACACTAGAAATGTGATTCAAGCTCCATGTTCACATAGCTGCAAATGAGATTATTGAGAAATAGCCCAGCACCATTAGCCTGGAAGGAGACCCATGGTTTCACTGCACTGGGGGCAGAGCCAGTAGGGCTGTTAGAGCACTCCAGAGTTCTTTATTTTCACAGAAAATAAACACTTGTATTCACACTCCAAACCCCCAGGTTCATGTTTCCAGGCTAATACCCGCACTAGAGCAGGTACCAAACAACAGAAAATTGTTGCAGGTCAGTGTGGCTGCTGCTGCCCGCACTGAGAGAGCTGATCCCAGCCCATGCCTGGCCAGCTGGTATCCACGTCACAAAAAGCCCTGAATGCCAGCCAGTCCCGGTCCTTTAAGTGAGTGCTGCTCGCAGCTGCTCCCCTCTGGGAGAGGGCTGACATGCTCCGATTTCCCACCTGAGGGACATGAGATCATTCACAAAGTTCTGCCCCACTCCCCTGACCTGACTGGGTCCTGGATCGCCTCCCATCAGCTTTTTAACAGAGCCCATACATTCTGGTGGAGGGTTTGCAGGTGCTTTGGCTGTGTGGCCATGGCTTGTTCCCTCCTGGGCAATGCTGCCAAGCTCAGCTAGGTCCCTCTGCCCAGCCCTGGGAGCTGCTGCACTTGCAGCAGGAAAAGCAGTGGCCTTTAGAGCATGTACAAGGGCAGAGTCTGGGCAATGAGCTGGAAACAATGTCTAAGGGAGGGTGGCATAGGGACAGACCTGGGGACACCAGAGGGGTCATGTTTGCCTCTGCAGCCATTATCCAGCAGGTCAGTCTCAGTGGGAGCACAACAAAGGGACGTAAATCATTTAAACAAACCCCCAAACTTGATCTAAAAACAGCTTTAAGATCTGTAAAACTGATTCCAAAACCCGTGCTATTGTAACCACTGCTTGATAGCTCAAATGAGATGAATTATAAGGGTGAGCTGCTTCCCCACTAGCAAGCTGTCACATGTAAACTTTACAGGGCTATCGCTGATCCAGGAAAGCACAGTGAAACACTTGAGAATCAAAGCCTTGGTTTGGCAAATGCTAGAACAAATGGGCAATTAACTTTCCTTGTGCGAGCAGCTCTGCCGGCCTCCGCAGGGCTGCTCTCGCACAGGAAGTCTATAGGTGATTAAGTGTCTGCTCAGCATGGGATACAACTGCACTAAATTCTTTATGAGCTACATGAAATCTGCTCTTTTCAAACAACAGCTTCAGTGGAAAGTTAATGCCTCAAAATGCTAAATTACAGAGCTAATATAAACAGCTGAGAGCTTCCAGATGGAGCAAGCATCTGAACAGATATCCAAAGCTTTTATGCCCATTTTTAGGAGCTTTGTTTTTCATAGGCACCTAAATGACCTTGGGCTCATAGATCCACCTCAAAGCATCTTCCCCAATGAGGGAATGGGGTCTGAACACATGGAAATGCCTTGACTTCTGGGAAAGAAAGTGCTGTTGGGTTCAAATAGTGCCCAGACTACTTCTTTATAATTTTTTTATATATGTACCCTGCCAGAGGAATCTCAAAGATGCTTTAGCCTCATCTCTTGTTCCACAGGATGAACATTCTGATCATGAAATTAATTTTCATAAATTTTTATGGTAAGATCTGAAGCTATTATTAGGAGATCAAAGGTACAGGCACAGACCTGTGTCTGAACCCTTTGCAGCTACAAAATGGAAGGGAAAAATAGAGTAATTTTAAAATAATGTTGATTTGTGAAAAAAACATGATGTAACTGCAATCTATTTTCTGTGTACTTTTCTTCAGAGCTCTTCACAGAAGCTGCCAGCATCTCTGTGCCCTCTTGCTGACCTTCATCTGAAGAAAATGGGGACCCTGATTTGAACACCTTGAACTGGAAATGTGTCTGAGTGTGATCCTGTGTTACCACAGCTCTGCACCATGGGTGGAAGCACACGTTGTGTCTAGAGGAAATGCCCATCAAAGCAGGGGGGAAATAACCAAGAGGGCTGCAGGGCCACACAGCTCTACAGGAGTAAGAGCTAGGTAAAGGAAAAACTGTAAATCCTAACCTAACACAGACCTTTCTCAGAGACGAAAACTTCACCTGCTTACATCTGTTTTTAGCCCTTCTCATATTCTCTTTTTGTGCTTTTCCTGATCCTAAGGAAAACTGCAAAAATGATGGAACATTTGGAATAGCTCATCTATTACTACTGGAGATCAGGAAGGTAAGGAGAAGATTAGAGGAGACACAGAACCTCATCTTCCATCTGTTGTGCAAAAGGATCCTGACCTCCTGGGCACCCAACAGCTCAGGAAGGTGCCTTTTACAGCTATGAAGGGGGAAGTGGATGGCAGGGTGCCCTCTCCCCCAAGGACTTGGCTCCCTTCTGGCTTTGCTGAATGCTTGCCCAGAGCAGGCCTGATCCTGGGATTATTGGGGTGGGGTAGAGCAGTCCAGGGTTTACACAGCAAGATTTATCACAGTTCAGTGGGAAAAGCACAGTAATGTTTCAGGCAGAACTGCAGCATGAGACATTGAGACCATTTTTTGTCTATCAGCAACTCACTTGCTCTCAGCCTGGCAGGCACATTCCAGGGGACGTGTAGGTGATAGTTCCTGGGAAAAACTGGCTCCTTAACCCATACAACTGCTTTGGGAGGTCATTGCCTCAGCTCATCAAGATGTCCAGCAGAGTGACTAAAACACTCGCAGAAATCTCTTGAAGGCTGAGTTAATTTTGAAGCAACACTGTGTGCTTACAATGCCTGTGGGATCAGAAAGATGGTACAAAAAGCATCTGAAATGGTACTGACCCCAATTCCTGGTAAATGTAAGCACCTTCTCCGGCTACATTCAATTTGCAGAAGTCTAATAGGGGCCATGGAGCATTTTGAAATGTAAAGACAGACCCTAGGGCAGAGCTGTCCTCCACAGAACAGGCTGTTTTCCCTGCAAAGCCTGAAATTTGGGGTTTGGAGAATTTATTTTTAGTAACTCTTAAAAGATGCCAAACCACAGAAGGCTAATTTGAGTTGCAGCTCAGGCTCTGCCCTGCTGCAGGAAAATTAACATTAAGAGCACATTTCTACTGCTCCTCTGACAGATGAAAGTTACTTGCTGAAAGGTGCCGGTGCTGTATATAGACCCGTCCAGGAAATCAGTCAACAAAACCCATAAACAACTTGAGGAAGGGACAAGACTGTGACTTCCAGAGGCACTACATAACAAGGAGGTGGACCTCACAGAGGTTTCCAGGAGGAGTTATATCACTGGGCTGGAGCTGCAACATGCATTGCTTGGTTATCTTTAAGAAAGGAGGAGAAACAGATTGTATCACCCACAAGATTTCACGCTGAATAAATGCATAAAGACTTCCTCATAGCTCCACATTCCCTAGGTAAAGTTTATCCTACAGAAAGCTCATCTGCCTCCCGACATAGCTGTACCTTGCTATATATGGTGCAATTTTTTGGCGTATTAGGTACTTTCTCCTGGGAACCCAGAATAAAGCCAGGTGCTCCAAGATGTACCAATACAAATTGCCAAGAGATTGTCTCCAAATTTTTTCATTCCTTCAGTATTTTCATCTTCTTTCACCAGGCTGCAGGTGTTAAAATTACTGTACTGGTATGTATTTTCTTATTTCTAGTGAAGACGGGACACATTTTGTGTAGGGTCCTTCATTTAGCATTTCTCAATTAATGCTGCACAACAATGTATGCCTTCTATAAATGACTGTGTCTAGTTTCCCTGAAAAGATGGCAAATTTGGTATCCAGCCCCCATTATTTCTGAGTTCTTTTTGCTGAGTTTTGCTGAGAAGATGAAGTCAAAACCATATTGCAGCACAAGTATTTCCTTCCTTCAGCTGAACCTGTCTCATGCTGCTGTAATGCTGTTTTTCTATATGGTTTCTGCAGCTGCCCTCCTCATTTGGACTGTGGGTTGAAGTCTACACTATTCTCTTGCAGGCCAGACTGCCCCTCTGGTGTTTGGAATCTTCTCTGGGTTTTTCCCAGTTCCCATTGGACTACCAGTTTAAACACCTCTCTGCAGGAATCAGAACTGAAAGAGAAATCAAACAATGGCTGCAGCAGCAGGGTTGTGAAAAGGCAGGGGTGAAGAGCTTGACCAGTTTTACTGAGATGGAGCAGGGGGCAGGTTTTGTTAACCAGGGGCTCACAGCTGCTCTTGGACACCATGGCCACACTGGGCCAGTGGCTCCCTGCGTGCTACTGAGTGTGTGCTACTATTTAATACAATTTAAATGTTAAATTAAATGGAAAGCTGATGCTACAGGTCTGTGGAAGGTTATCCCTTCCACACAAGGTCTTGCTGGGGGAGAGGCGGTTTGTTACACATCTGTGGATTAAAATCAAGTTAAACACCAATGCATCTTAATGGAACTACGCTCAAAATGAGGTTACTGTGAGCATACCTAGAAACAAATAGAGGAAAGCTTCCCCTCAAACCCTGCTATAGAAGACCAAAGAGGAAAAAAGGCTGATTCTCTTCATAGCTGGGACAGAACAGCAAGAGAAAAGAAATGCCTCAGGTAAACAAGGATAATAGTGAGATATTGGTGAGTAGGAGACAGAAAATGCAAGCGCTGTCAGAGGTGTGAGCAAGAGTCCCAAAGTGCTGTATTTAATAATCCCTTGACATTTTCAGTAAGAAAGAACAAATGTTTGTGTACTGTGGCAAGGAGCTCTGGCAGTGAAATTGTGTTACTTATACATTATGCAAAAAAATAACAGTATGGGTATAGTGGATGTGGCAGAACATTAATCATTAGCGAAACAGATCAGAAGTACACATTGCTATCCAAGAAAGAAGAATATAAAAAGTTATAGGAATTTTGTATAAACATTATAATAACAAAAATAAACAAAAGATACAAAAATTGTTTGAGTTAATCATGAGAAAAGGAAAGAAAAGCTGGCTTTTCTAAAGGTTTGTGAGGGACATAAGGACTTGGTAGTGGTTATTAATGCCCATCCTTACCAGAGACTTTAATTTCCTAGAAAGAGGCTGGTCTTTATCAGTGGGAGCATTTGCTGTCCTGCAGTCACCTTGGAAGTGTGAAGTGATGAATTCCTTCATTAAACACTCACTGAGCCAACAAGCAATCAGCCTACTTTCTAATTAGTGAAGGTGTCTCAGAAGACCTGGCCATGGAAAGCAACCTTGATTGGATCAAACAAGATACTTCACCATAATTCAAATGGACACAGAAAAGGAGACAGTGATAAAGATTCTTAATTACAAACGGGAAATCTTTATTTTAAAAATTAAATAGTCAAGTGAACAGGGCTGACGCAGCAGTGGATGGGGCTGAAGGCAGCTGGGAGCTAACATCTGTCACCATGTGGGAGCCAGCATCAGAACCTGTATTTGGAACTGGAAAAATACAGTTTAGGAGGGCTCAGGGCTGGGCTGGGGGGTAACTGCAAATTCAGGGTGCTGGGGATGACCAAATGCTTTCAAACAGAGGAAAGATGAATCAGAATAAAACATCATTTTTTGGGAAGAAGAACATTTGGAGGAAGAGCTGGAATTGCTAAACCCCGTGCAGAGTTAGACATGAAAACCAAAAACAAGACTTTCAGAAATGTAGTTTAGAAAAGACAAGAAGAAGTGAGGTGGGAGTAGATAAAGGGCTTAGGGAGAGCTCTAAATAGGGGCTGTAGCAAAACACCTCAGAAGGCCACAATGGCAGACAGATAAAAAGGAGGAAGAACCTGAAGTGATGTCAAGAGTTTAATGGAGCAAAGTTAAAGAAGGATGGATAATCTTCATCTGAGATGAAGACCAGCTATGAAAGTGCAGGGTGGGTAGCAAGGTTTGTTACCATACCCATGAGCTCACAGAGCAGCACACACCAAACAACTCTGTTTAAGGAGGGCACAGAGGACAGCAAGCAAAGGGCAGGGAACTAAGCAACCACAAGTCAGTTTTTATAGGTCTGTTGATCCATAAGGTACCATGCTGTAGAAGAAATTTGGAAGGGGAAGTGTATCAAAGTAAATCAGATAATTGCAGGGGAGCCTGACCAAGGGAGAGGGTGCCAAAATCATCTGACATCTCTAGACAAGAGAGAGGTAGAAGAGACCTCAGGTGAACTTCAGTGCTATTGAAGGAAAACACAGGAAGGAACTGCGAAGAACATAAGGAATTAGGAACACAAGAGACAACTAGAATGGGAGGAATGGGACAGGCATGGACTACTGCAGCTCACCAAGGCTGAACCCAGAGAACAATCTCAATGCTTTTGCTAACAGTCTTTTATAAAACCCAAGAATTTTCTGTTTTTCTCCATTGGGAGTCTCCAGTCCTGCTGAGGGGCAGAGAGGGCAGGTGGTGGCACACAGAACTCCTCTGCCTGTGATCCTGAGTGGTATGGGAACACAGCCGAACATCTCTGGAGAAGATGCTGTCCTGCATTTATCTGATGTGCACATTCCTGGCACACTGAGAAATGTCCTATCCTCTCCTCCCACCTCCAAAAACGAGCAGGAGATGACTCACAGAGAGGCTTTCTCTGTATCTGGAGTGGACCAGGTTGGCCTTTCTCATATGATCAGCTCTGCCTGCGGCAGAACGGCACCAGGCAGCCCAGGAGCCAAGTGCTGCCCTCATGCATTACATAATGCAGCATGTCGCTGCTGCAGCCATTTCTTAGACTCACTCACCACAGTATGACGTAGCGAGTAACACGCGGCAAAACACAGCTCCCAGTGGGAGAGGAAAACACATGCTGTGCGTATTCTCAAGGTATGGTTAATGAAATACAGCTCTCAGCATCTCTCGGGCTGCTGGCAGCTGCTGCATTATGAATGCTGTCACAGCTGCAAAAGAAGTACAGCTCTTTCTAAGGGCTTAATCTTCTCTTCTTTCTTTAAATCACTTGCATAGAAACACTTTGTAGACCTCCTTCTCACTGCTAGGCTGAAAATGTGAGAGCCAAGTCATGAGAAGCGATTTCCTGTCATAAACTCCTTTGCACAGAACAGAGCAGCAAATGCTGTCTGGGCAATGGTGCAAGGCAGGTGCCATGCCCATGCTGCCAGGCCACTGCTGCCATGCTGGGGGACAGGCTCACCTGCTGAGCCTGCAACCCGTGAGGCCAAAGGCTCTTACAGTCTTCATAACATCACAGATACAAGGGCTGGGCCTCAATCCACCCGGGGATGTTCCACCAGGTGACACCAGGTGGAATATCAACACACCAGCACATGCAGGGACCGATTCCCCCCAGCATCCCTGGTACCTGCCACATCCTACCAAGAGGCCATGCAGGGCTGCCCGTGGAGGCTGCTGACCTGGAAATCGTTGGGGGTGCAGAGGGGTGCAGGGGAAGCCCCGGGGGGGGGTGTGGAGGGTGGCCCGGCGACCTCACCCTTCTTGAACTCCTCAAGCAGCGTGTCGAGGCGTGTGTCATTGAAGACGCAGTGGAGCGGGCGGCGGTAGAAGCGGGTGACAGTCTGCAGGGGAGTGCAGTCATCAGGGTCGACAAAGGCCAGGTCTTTGACAAAGAGCAGGTCGACAATGTTGTCGCGTCGGTCACCCTCATAGACCGGAATGCGGGTGTAGCCAGATCGGAGGATCTCAGAGACGGTGGCGAAATCCAGCACAGCATCGGCCCGGAGCATGAAGCAGTCGGCCAGCGGCGTCAGCACATCCTCCACCACCTTGGTGCGTAGCTCCAGCGCGCCCTGCACCATGGCCAGCTCCTCCCGGACCAGGTCGCCGTGGGGGCCAGCGGCGCGCAGCGTCTCCAGCAGCCGCTCCCGCGTAGAGAAGACGCTGAGCTCCTGCCGCAGCGCCCAGTCCAGCAACCGGCTGAGCGGGTAGCACAGGGGGAAGGCGGCCAGCATCAGCAGCCGGGTGAGGCAGAGCGTGCGGGAGGCGATGGCCAGCCCGTGCCGCGAGCACACCGAGTAGGGCAGCACCTCGCCGCCCAGGAAGACGGCGGCGGTGCACAGCAGCACCGGCAGCCAGGGCGCTCCCCGCGGCCCGCCGGCCGCCGCCGCCGGCCCGCCGCCGGGCAGTGAGGCGCAGAGCCAGCCGGCCAGCGCCGCGTTGGCCCCCGCCTGCCCCAGCAAGAGCGTGCACAGCAGGTAGGTGCCGCCGCCGCCGCGCACCGCCTGCACCCGCCGCGCCTGCTCCCGCTCGGCGGCAGAGCCGCTGTTGCGCAGGACGCGGAGCTCCAGCGGGTCCAGCGAGAGCAGCGAGAGGCGCAGCCCGCTGAACAGCGCCGACAGCCCCAGCAGCAGCAGGGCGCCCAGCGCCCGCAGCCAGCCCGCCTCGGGCAGCGGCAGCAGCCAGGTGCCCAGCGGCGGGGCGGCCGGCCGCACCCGCAGCAAGAAGCCGCCCGCCGCACCGTGGTGCGCCCAGGCCCGCCCGTCCCAAGCGCACAGCGAGAAGAGCCGCCCGCCCGGCGCCGCCGCCGCCTCGCCCTTGCGCGGCTCCCGCACCCGCACCTCCGCCAGCGCCGAGCCCGCCGCGCCGCCCGAGCGCAGCGGCCCCACCACCTCCACGTCCGAGGCCCAGGCGCTGCGCTCCCGGCACCGCTCCGCCGGGCCCCGCGCCGCCGCGCTCCCCGCCGCCGCCTCCTCGATGAAGACCAGCCGCGGCTCCCGCTCCCCCGCCGGCCCGCGGCTGCCGTTGCCCTCGGGCGGCGGCTGGAAGTAGAGGCGCAGGAGGAAGCGGCTGCCCTCCGCCGCCTGCACCGCGCCGCCCTCCAGAGACACCCGGCCCGGCGTCGTGTCCTCGGGCCGCAGCCCCAGCAGCCAGGCGGCCCCGGCCGGCGGCCGCGGCGACAGCGAGAAGAAGAGCAGCAGCACGGCGCCCCGGCTCCGGCCCCAGCCGCCGCCGCCGCGCCCCGGGCCCGCCGCCATGCCGCTGCGCCGGCACCGCAGCGCCCGCCCGCCGCCCCGGGACTGCAGCGGGGAGCCGGCACGGCACGGCACCGCACGGCACGGCACCGCACGGCGCGGCGGCACACGTGGGCCGGGGGGCGGGCGGCCGCCGCGCCACGTGCGACCGGGAGCCGGCCTGCAGCGCCCCGGCGGGAGGGGCCGGCGGAGCGGGGCCGCCAACCGGCACCGCCGGCCCGGACGGTACGCAGGGGACCGAGGGGTTCGCCCACCCGCCCCGTGCGGGAGCATCCCCGTGGCGGGCGGCACCGCGCGTTCTCTCCGCACCTGGTGAGATGCTGGCGGATCCACGCCGCAGCAGAATCGCGGTGATACCGGGCAGCCCCCACCCCTGGCAGCCAGAGTGGGCTGCGGGCCGAACGGCGAGCTCTGCCCGCCGAACGGCGAGCTCTGCCCGGCCACCCGCGGCCGCGCTGGCTCCCGGAGTCATCCCGGGCACAGGTCTGTGGGGTGCGGTGCGGGGCTGCGCCTCCCCTGCACTGTGCGATTGGGGTTTGCTGAGGGGCTTCTGCCAGCAGTCTCTGGAGCTGGAATCTGCATTCAGCCTCCCTCTGTTATCTGTCGAGGCCCTACTCTTCATCTTTTCAGTTCAAATTCATTTCCCTTCTTCTTCCCGTGGGAGTGTTTTGATTTTTGGTTTTGTTTTTTTTTTTTTTTTTTTTTTTTTTTTTTTGTTTTGTTTTGTTTTTTTTAATGGAGGGTGGGTAGTCGTTAGATTTGCAGTCTTTCTAGGAAACAAATGTACCACACTGTAGCTACATTTATTCTCGTGTCTAGACCTGATGGGGAATGTTGCTAGGGTTTATCAACTTCAGAAGTATGTGCTCGAGAATGTACTTAGGGACTCTTTAAACTTTTGTATCTTCCCTGGACCAACATTCACGACAAACTTGAAATGAGGCTGGAGAACTGGAAAGCAGTTGCTTACAACTGCAACAGGCTCAGCAGTGGCAAAGCAAGAAGCTAGAAAATGTCATGGAGGCAAAGGAAGTGCCCGAAAATTTCTGATTATTCACTCATTATTGCTCCCATGAAAATAGGTCACTTTCTGTGTCGGTATGTCAGCAGGCAGACAGGTAGGAAAGCTACCAGGGGGATCTGTGCTCCTTTTTGTGTTATGAAAGACTCTTCTCTCTCTCCCTCTGGGGGAGGCAGCTATTTTTTTTTTTTTTCCCCAAATGTGATGAATTCACTGGGTGTTCACAGGGGCTGTGTGCTATTTTACAAGCCCTTCCTGATCGTCCACTTTCTAACTACCCTTTAGTAGCACTGGGGAGATATTACCTGGTGTTCTACGTGGGCATGATTGATGAAGGAGCCACCTGGTAAGCCACGTTTGAAACCTTGCCCCAAGTTCTGCTGCCTGAGCGACGGATCTCACAAGCTGCCCCAAGCAGTACCCAGAGTGACTCGGGACCAGCACAGCCTGCTCCTGCTTTCCTGTCTGCAAGGTGGGGGATGAGCACATGGCTGCTCCTTCTTTATTAGGACCTTGTGGGAACTACTGTTTGAGATCATCCCATATTTTAGCAATGGCAGGCTGTCATCAGCCCTGAATTTCTTGCAGACTTCTTGGTGCTGAGAATATTGTAAAGACGTTTGGTTTTGTGCCATTGCGTTTTGTATTGCTGATTGGGAGCTGTGTACCCATGGCAGTAGTTACTAGTGTTTATTAACTTGCAGGTTAGATTCCTGAAAGGTTTTCTAGTGATAAGTTTCTCGGTATAGGAACTGAAGACTGTGAATTACAGACGTGCGGGGTTTTTTTTAATTAAGTATTTGGAAGGTATTCTTGTCCACAGTACCCTTGTCACTAGAAATCCGTGGACAGCGGTTTGGAAACCACTGGTCTAGCCTGGAACATGTGGGAAAGAAAACATGGCACTGCAGGAGAAGAAACCACAAGGTGGCAATCTCTCGCTGCACTTTTACTGGCAAAATAAAGATCTGGCAAAAAAAAAAAAAACCAAAAAAAAACCCAACAACAAAAAAAAAACAGTATCACGGACAGTAACTGTAAAGCTGCAGAAGCAGTTAGTCACATCTTGTATCTTCCAGAGTCACAGCCATCCAGTTTTGATGCTGGATTTTCTCTTCTGAAAGCTTTTCCCTTTAGTATGAAAATCTCAGTCTTGAGGAGCTGGATCTGTAGGCTACCCTTTGCTGGCTTTTCCATCCTTTGCCCCCAAATAGGCAGCAGATGTTGCTTGTTAGATTGCTAACTACCGGTGCTGCTTGTGTGCCTGCAGGCAGAGCTACTGTGCTTGGAGAGGAGATTTCCTCCTGCACTGGAGGCACTGTCTGGCTCAGGGCATTGCTGAGCTCGTGTTATACTGAAGTACAATATAATGGTTGCATCAGCACCCTGCTTCATGCTCTGACATGCCTCAATGGGAGCAAAGTCACTTGGATGTTAGGACTAGGCAGTGACCTGCAGGCTGAGAGTGTATTTGTTCTTGAGGGGACTGCAAAGCCATAGTGGCAGTGGCTCCACTCCATAAAAGATGTGGCCAGAGGGTGCAAAAGCTCAGAAGAGAAATAATGCTCAGTTTAAGGTAGAGCTTCTCTGGTCCGGCAGTATCAAACACCATCTGTTGCTATGAGCTCCCTCTCCATCAGGACATAACTGTGTTCTTGCCAGATGTTAGCTTACATGTGCTACATGTAAAAGTAAACTGGTGTGAAAGCTGTGGTCAGATGTGCTTTCAGTAGGATTTGCCCTGCATAAGTGACGACGTGCTAGCCAGCCTCTTGCTGAGAGGATGCACTCCAGAAGTTGCAGGTGTGTGGTTGGAGTGTGTTCAGTAAGTCAAGATAGGAAATATCTTCCAAAGCTCCAAATAAGACAAAACAAACTCAGCTTTAGCACATGCTCAATTGATTGAGTCTTTGGCAAAGTATGACATGAATTTGCAATGTTCTCACTGAGGCCCGTCCTGGCTATATCCTGCCTGGTGAGTCCTTCAGCAAGCACAGCATAGCTGTCCTTCTTCTCTTATGCTGAATCCTACTTCTTTTACCTGCTCTTCCCTAACTCTTAGGAATGACAGCCTGATTCCCGCTCACCAGCACTGTTCAGGTTCTGCTTTACACTATGTCTGCCACCACTGAGATCCCTCTTGTGTCACGGCCTGCCAGTGGTGACTTCTCTAGTCACCGCTGTCCTCTTCCAGCTCTGGCTGCTCAGGTCCTGATGGGACCTGGAGGAGGTGGGAAGCATGGACATGGGGAGTTTCCTAATGTCTCTTTACATCACCTTAACTTTAAGGTCTGAAATCGGAGTGCAGGAGGCTGTGGTTTGCAATTCACTTCCTTCCTGGTTGATGGGAGCCCAGGGGCTCTGCTGTCTGCTGGTCCTCTAGAAAAGGGCCAGGAGCCACCAGGGACTCCTAGTGGGGATAGAAATGTTAGCAATCCAAATCATGATGGGAAACAGAAGGAGGAAAAAAAAAAAAAAACAAACCAAAAAAAACCTGATTTTTTTTTTCCTCCCCAGAAAGCAGGAGGAAATCTAGCAAGGACAAGGCTGGCTTTTCCTGGAACATATGTGCAATCTGATTGTCACTAATTCTCTGTAGCCAGCTTAGGGAAGATACTTTCCTTAAGTAAGTGAAATAAGCACTGTGATGTGGGATATATGATAACTTCAGAAACAGAAGGAATAAGACCCCAGGCAAGAGAGCTTCAAACAGTGTCTTTTTTTTCCCTCTCCTTTTTCCATCTCTAAGTCTGTGGGTGTTCAATTAACCCTCTTTCTCTCTGCTGGCCATGATGGCTGCAGCTTTGCAAGGCTTTAGCCAGCCTTCTGGATGATGATGTGTTAAGCACTTGGTTTGTGATAACCAGTTTTCTCCTGAAATGATACCAAAAGTCTGCTGCTTTGATTTAAACTGTTTTCCAAGCATTTTGATTAGTAACAAAAGACAGTCCATTCCAAGAGAATCTTGCTTGAGGAAGCCATGAAATTTAATTCATTTTTGCAACTTAAATATATAATCAGTGACATATGGTAATAGTAAATACAGGGGGGAATGTCATTGTTTCAGTCAAATTTCTGCATTCAGTCAAAACCTAATACTTGTAACATCAAACTATATTTTCCATTGAACAGGAAATAAAGCATCATTTTTTTCAAAGAAAATAGACATGCAATTGCATGCCTATTATATTGCTTATATAGCTTTATTTTTAGCTTTCTCAACTGTTTCTGTTCTAAAGGACCAACAGAAGGGAAACTGTGGAGGGAGAAGATACCCAGTTGCCCGTGGTAGAAAGGACAAAGATGTTTGTGCTATGAATAAATGCACTTTCCCTACAGGGCAGTAAAGTTCTGTCCCTGGGTTAGGGACTCTGCACCTCACCCCTCACTTCTGCTGACGTGCCAGCCCTTAAACAATGCTGAGGTGAGGATGAGTTCCTGTAAGGGCTCTGGAATTTATGCAGAAAGAACATTGCTTTTTTGGGCAATGGAAGCAGAGTATTTGGTTTAAAGTCTATCTGGCATCAACCTGAGATTTCTCCCTCCAGAAGTTCGGGTCACTGATGTACTGCTGACCTTCCCCCTCATTCAGTGGTGCTCTCTTCTGAGCCTCCAAGTTTCATGGTTCCTTATGGGCATTTAACTTTATTTCTGCTTCATCTATTTGTCTGGTTTTCAGGCATGTCCCATTGTTTTCTCCTCTTGCTCTCTAGCCTTGAGTTTCTTGTGTTGCTTCTGATTTCTCTAATGGACACCAACAGTTTGCAGCTTTGACATAGCTGATTTGTCCTGTCTTGGTCTGTAGCAGGGCCATGCTCTCATGTCTGGATAGAGCTGGTGACAGAGAGCTTATTTGCCCTATGCAAATAAATACAGCAGACAGGGGTTTACAATTTTATCATTACCTGAAATATTCCTTTTCTTTTCTGTCTCTCTCACCCCAGCAGCCTCTCTGATTTGAGAGTATTTTGGCTGCTGTTTCTTCCCCTGAGCTCCGTCTCCTCGTTGATTTCTGCACACAGTTCCTTCCTCTTTTTCATAATTGACTCGTTTGCTCCTCCAGTCTTGCACTTCATCCATCTTCTTACTTCCCCTCTCTGATCTAATTCTCATGTCCACTTCCTTCATTTTTGCTGCTGGAATGTAAAGCATCCCTCCAGAAAAATAGGTCTCTGTCAACTTTTACCATCCCCCTCATATTCCCTCTTCCTTCACCTCTATCATCTCCCCCAGATGGTGGGACAAATACTCGCTTGCATTCATTCTCAGGCTAGTAAAATTGGCATATTCACTTCTCTTTCTTTTTCACGTGATGATGTGAAACAGGAATAATTCTACACTCTCTGCTGCTCCAGGCTGGGCTCCATCTGAAGAAAAAGGTTTCCAAGGCTATTGTGGTCTTGAGGGCACTGCAGGGCTCCAGTCTCCAGTTGTGTTCTCACTCTGCATCTCTTTGACTGGGACAAATTGCTGTTGTATTTGCTGCTTCTCAAGATATGAAAGACAAAAGTGAAATCAGACCTGGCCATTGATGAGTACAGAGAAGTAATGGAGCCA